CAATGCTTTAGTCACTGAGCCAAACCAGCTAGGGCAGTTGCTGAGCTCTTTATTCCATTTTTGTGTGTGTCTGCTTTTATGTCAGTATCATACTTTTTTTTAAATTAGTGTAGCTTCATACTTTGAGATTAGGAAGTGTGGTATCATTAGCCTTGATCATACTCAAGATTGCTTTGGCATTGTGGTCATTTGAGGTTCCATGGGAATTTTAGGCTTCTTTTTTTTTTATTGTTATGAAAAAGTCTAGTTTGAAATTTAATAGGAATTGGATTGAATCTATAAATTCCATTGGGTAGTATGCACATTTGAACAATATTAATTTTTCCAATCCAGAACATGGGATATCTTTCCATTTGTTTGTGATGTCTTTTCGTTTTCAGTGTCCAGATCTTTCACCTTCTTGGTTATATTAATTTGTATATGTTTATTGTTTTTGATGCTATTTGTCTACGTGATTGCTTGCTTAATTTCTTATTTAAAAATATCGTTATTAGTGTGTAGAAACACAACTGATTTTCTTTGTTGATTTTTGTTTGTTTGTTTAAATATGCATAAATTAGTGTTTTTGATGCTATTTGTCTATGTGATTGCTTGCTTAATTTCTTATTTAAAAATATCATTAGTGTGTAGAAACACAACTGATTTTTCTTTGTTGATTTTTGTTTGTTTGTTTAAATATGCTTTTTTATTACCATAGAGAGAGAGGAAGGGAGAGGAAGAGATAGAAACATGGATGACAGAAAAACATCAATCAGCTGCCTCCTGCATGCCCCCTACTGGGGATCGAGCCTGAAACCTGGGCATGTGCCCCAGCCTATGATCAAACCAGTGACCTCCTGGTTCATAGGTCAACACTTAACCATTGAGCCATACAAGCTGGGCTCTATGTTGATTTTGTATCTTGCAACTCTACTACTTGATTTATTAGTTCTGACAGTTTTATGCTATAGGTATTTAGGGTTTTATATGTATATATTAACTTATGTTCTGTAAACAGTTTTATTTATTTTCTGATTTTGATGCCTTTTGTTTCTTTTGCTTGCCTAAGTACTCTGGGTAGGAATTCCAGGACTATTGTGAATAGAACTGAGGAGAGTGGACATCCTTACCTTGTTCCTGATTTTATTTTTTACTTGTTTTTTAATCCTTATGCGACAATCTTTTTTCAGAGAGAGTGGAAGGGAGAGCAAAAAAAAGAGAAAGGAACTTCGATGTGAGAGAGAAACATCAATTGGTTGCCTCCCGTATGCACCCTGATGGGATTAACCCGCAACCTGGGTGTGTTACCTTGTTGGGAAGCCAACCTATGACCTTTTAGTGCACGGGACAATGGTGTAACCAACTGAGCCACCCCAGCCAGGGCTTGTTCCTGATTTTATTTTATTTTTATTTTTTAAATTGTTTTATTGCTTAAAGTATTACAAAGAGTATTACGTATGTCTCCTTTTTCCCCCTGGCCTTGAC